GTCTACATCTGGACAGAGCAACTTCAGAGAAAAGTTCCCCAGTGGAGGACTTTATACAAGCCTCCATGAAAAAACCAACTGGTGATCTCCAATGGACGATCTTACACGGCGCCATCACCACAAACTGGTTTTTGTTGGTTATTAATCGGGGTGTTTTAATCCAGTGTTCTTTCTGCGGTCTGTCTGAAAAAGTGCTCCATGTTTTTATGGAAAGCACAAGACTAAAGACCATTATTAGCCTTTTCAATTACTGTTTTTAGTCTTTTTGAGACTTTTTTAAAAACGCTCTTTTTATAGGAGGAGTTTGGCAGAACAGGAAAAATAAGCCAATGGCCCGACTTTTAAATGTTTTAATGAGTGAAGCAAAGATGGCCGTTTATTGTCCCGCAGTATCAGACTGCAGGAGGGAGCTCACCTTGATGCCGTGGCTCTGAGGAAGTTAAAACCAGACTAAGGCTGGAGTTTAACTTCCACAGAGACACAGAACATGGAGGATTTATTCACTGCAAAAATGATCTGAAATTAAGTAAAAATGTCTTAAATCAAATGTATTTACCCTTAATTTGAGCAGTTAAATAACATAGTTTGCCAGTGGGATGAGTATTTTTACACTTAAAATAAGTCAGTTAGATAATATGCACTTGAAATTAGACAATGCAATTGATTTTTCTTATTTCAAATGTAAATTGTCTTGTTTCATTGGCAAAGTGTCTCATTTTCCTCCTCAAATCAGGATAAAATGCACTTATTTTAAGAAAAAATGACTCATTTAGATTTACATTTTTGCAGTGTTCAGCTGTGATGTTTTAACAACATTTTATGTTCTGCATCAGATGATGGACAACTATAATTTAACGAGCTCCTCATTTAAAGGGTTTTAGCAGACACTTGTTTTACATCAATATTTTATATGTTTTGAATTGTGTAAATAAAGTGTTGTTAAAATCCAAAAATCCAATCGATAGATATATAGATAATTGCACATGCAACATTTCTATGAAGGTTATTTTGTTTCAAAACTATTGGTGCATTGTAAGTGTAAATTTGAAGTTGTAGAGAGAGTTATGTTCTAAGTTTTGTATTTGTAGAATAAAAAAAAATCACAAGTACAAATTTGTTTTACAAGTGTTTTACAAGCACAAGTTCACAGATTATGTTGCACATCAAAAACCTCTTACATTCTCAGTTTTGCTCCAAATCGTCCAGAACTATTGTTGCGAAACTATTTGTGCGTTGTAACTTTGGTGTTTTGTAACTGTAGATTTTTTTAATCTATGACAATTACAAAAATAAGTTACGCCTTTTTAAATTCTTGAGTACAAGTACGCAAATCTACAAATACAAAACACCAAAGTAACAATGCACAAATAGTTTTGCAACAATAGTTCTGGACCCTTTGGAGCAAAACTGTGAATGTAAAAGGTTTTTTGATGTGAAAGTTGACAACAAAATGTATGTACTTGTAATTTGAACACTTGTAAAACAAATTTGTACTTGTGATTTTTCTTTTAATACTACAAATACAAAACTTAGAACATAACTCATTCTACAGCTTCAAATGCACACTTACAATGCATCAATAGCTTTGAAACAAAATAACCTTCCTACTTTTCAGCTAGATCAAAAAACTGGAAGTGGCTCAGAGGCATTACATGTTGAACGCCCCTCATTCTGGAGCCTGACTTCAGGCTAAAAAGAAGCGCCTTACGGAGGCGGCGCCCAGCAACCACGGAGCTATGCAGCTACAGCACAGTGACACAAAAAACAAGAGCGCATCACAGAGATGATGGAAAGTAGCTTCTGCTGGTCTGACAGATAAAGCTGTTGGTTTATCCTCCATGCTGATCTGTTTCAGAGGGTACAGAACAGCAGAGCAGACAGAATGGGGACAGTTTCTGAGCAGGAACCTGGTGTTCTGGTTTTAGATGATAGTTGGCATGTAGATAAAATGTAAAACCTCTGCTCTGTATTTAGAACCTCC